AGGAAAACTGAGAAAACTGAGCATATAAAAACAATAAATAAATAAAACATGCTAAGCCAGGGCGTATAACAAAAACACAGCCTGCAGAAAATTTGATTTCATGATAAGTTATGCCTTGAATTCCTGTCTCCCAGTCCCCAGTCCTAGCTGTTACAAAGGGTCACTGTCTCAATACAAAGATAATGGCATGCGTCTTTCTCACATCATATTTTTTTGTTTGGGAGATAGTACAGGAAATCTATATTGTTTGCCTCACCTTTTCATTCATATGCATACAGTATGTGCATATATTGGCCAAAATCCTATTGCAGAGTTATGCTTGCTTAAGAGAATCACATGAACAAATTACTGCTATGAAACATGGTTTGGGTTGCATTCAGTGGTGCATGCCTGATTGTGCTATCCGATGCACGTTCAGGAATTAAGCCACCACCTTCTTAATAAGCAGCATTTTGCTGTCAAGATTTATACTATTCCAGCTTTTCGAGCATGAATAGATTTGCTGATCTGGCGATCATTGAAGGCACATGGGTAGCTTTTTTACAGACAGAGACTGCATTACCATTTCCATTTTGCAGTTAGAGTACAATTGTGATAACCACAGGGCATTGATTTAAAGCTCCCACAGATGCTGAAAACTGTGGATAATAGCAAACACTATACATAACATGGTAAAAGAGAAAAAATCCAGAAAAAAGGATTTTCACCATATATTACCAGAACTTGCCATTAGAGGGAGCCAAAGGACATGCTATGCATTCTTCAATGACAATAATACATAGCACGTTCTCTGGCTCTCTCTAGTGGCCAGTTCTGATAAATACATAATGAAAATACATATTTCTAGGTTTTTTAAAAAATATTTTTAATATTTTCAGACTGTGGATAAATGAAACTGTGAATACTGATTCCATGGATATAGAGTCTGACTGCGTCCATAGTGCATCCGTAAACAGAAATCCTATACAAACAGATTTGGGCAAAGATACAATTTGTGTGTCTGTGATTTCCTTGCATTTTCTTTCCCCTTGGTGATGCATTAAGCGGTCAGTCTGAAGTCTGTGGCCTAATCCTCCCCCGCTCCCTATACAGTGGTGCCTTGCATAACGAGTGCACCGTTTAACAAAGAATCCGCATACCGATGCAGATTTCCCCATCGCTAATACGAGGGCATCCTCGCATTGCAATGGGGGAACAGCTGTTCGGCGGTTCCAAAATGGCTGCCGGACACCCAAAA